CTGGGATTATAGGTGTGCACCACAGTGCCCGGCTTCCAAATTCTCTTTTTATAGGAGAATCTTTCAGTTGAAAACTATAAAAGCCAGAATTTATTTCCTGCCTTCAGGAAAGTTTTGAAGACTTCAGCCCAGCATTTGTCCAAAACAACTGGCCAGCTCCAGGTCCCAGCATTTCTCTTCCCTTCTATATGGCCAACAGGAAGCAGGTGCTGCCAGGAGTGGGCGCACGTGGCTCCGCCCCCCTCTCAGCCAGAAAACCCTTCTAAACAGACCTGCCTGCCTGAGGGTCCTGGTCTGCACACACTGTAATCCGTGTGCCTAGGAAGACCCTTTTATTGCAAGCGGAATAGCAACAAAATAAAACAAGACAAAAACAAAAACAGGAACAAAACCAGACACAAATTAAAGATTTAAATAATCCTCGAACTCAAGAATAGAGGCATTTCCTGGAATAATCCAGAGGGAAATCTTACAGGATTAAAGAAACACACAGCTGAGGGTACCCCGTGCGAAAACACACACACACACACACACACACACATACACACACACACACACTCACACACACAATCTTATAAACAGGCTTTGGGAAGAGCAGGGACCCAGAAGGCCCGAGGGTCCCAGCAGGAGTTCCTGGGCTTGGGGGGGGCACAGCTCTGCAGCCCTGGGCCTCTGGGTGTTTCCTTCAGGTTTTCCAATTGCCCAGGGGCCTTAGAGCCCTCTCCTGGCTGAGGGTCAAAAGGACTGCATCTTCAGGGAACGGTCCGAGCTCCCTGATTTGGGTCCTTCCTCCTCACCCCCGGGAGGCTTCTGCCCTGGGCCTGCCACCCTTCCTGGGGAGGGGCCTAGCCTCTGAAGTGGGTGGCTGTGTTCTATGAGTGGGCAGGGCTAACTTTCACCACCCCCTCCCATCAAGGGCTCCTCCTCCCGCCAAGCACTCTGACCAGCCTCCCTCCCAGCCTCCCCGCCCCGTCCTGTCTCCTAACCTGCCTCTGGTTCTGCGCTTTGCCGCACCTGGCACTGTGTTGGGGCCTGGTTCAATGACCGGCTGTCCATGGCTCCACAGGCAGAGCTTCTGCTGCTCCCAGGCCGGAGTCCCCTCCAGGACAGAGGACCAGAGGGTTTGTGCACTGGAGTGGAGGAGAGCAATGCTTTGGAATGTCCCCCACCTTGGTAAGCCAGTGCCTCTTGTCCCCGTCTGCGTGGAGACCACAACAGGAAACCCAGGAAGGGAGGAGGGTGCCCAGCAGAATTCAAGGAACACAGCTACACCCAGAGCCTCCGCACGTTGGCACAACTCTTAGGCCGAGAGGAAACACTCCCACAGGCTGGGGTTTGGGGGTCGAGGGCAAGGTGGGGTTCAGTGCTCACAGAGGGGCTGCAGCAGCCAGGACTGGGGCCAAGGCAGAGAGCTGATGGTCGAGGTCGGGGCCACTCGGCTCTCTCCAGTTCTGCAGAGGCTGCACTGCTGGCGGTACTGTTGTTATTCAGGCTTCCTGATCGCAGCCAAGGAGGGGCAGGGGTTGAGTTCCACAGCACCCCGCCCTTTCTGCATCCTGTTACACACCCAGACTGAACTGCAAAATCTCTTCTGTGACCATCGCTCAGGGGTGATGGTCAGGACCGCCCACCGTTAATATTGGGAATTGCTAGTGGCTGTAGATCAGACTCCCCAGATTCTATTCTTTATCTTTTTGGGGAGTGTCTTCCTCCATCAAAGAGGAGTGGGGACAACCTCTGAGACTGATGACCACGGGACTTGGGAGCCACCTTCCCCCATCATATGGAATCAATAGGAATCTGGGTGATTCCTTGTGTTGGCCTTAGCCCCTGGACAACGGCCTTCAAGGATGGGCAGCTGAGTCAGTGAACAGCCTGGAGATTGGGGCCCTGATCATCCAAGCACAGTGCTGTCCCCATCATCCATGAGGTAGTGAAAAATCTTAGTGGAATTATTAAAGTCCAGCAGCTAAGAAGAAGTTTAAAGTCCTATATCCAGGAATCTTGTTGCTCAAAGGATCAGGGAGAAGTGGGTTGGGTTAAAAGTTGGATTTGGGACCTTTTAAAATAGAAATTCTGGCAAAGTCTAATAAGTCTAATCCCGGAACATGGAAGGGTGAGCCATTGATGGAGCTGGAGAGAGAGGGATTTCCTGAGAAGGTTGAGGTTGCAAACAGACTGAGCAGATGTGACAGGCTGGCTGCCCCCTCCACCTGCTCTTGAGTGGGACTAGGCAAGACAGGTGTGGAATCCCGGCTAGATCCAGCAGGGGGCAGGATCCAAAGATGAAGGGTCCGTCTAACTCCCACGAACGAGCTGGGATACAGGAAATGATCAAGAGGCACTTTCCAGAGGCAGTGGAGAGTAGTTTTATAAGAACCACGGAGGAACAGTTCAGATGTGTGCAGATTTGAGTAGGGAGATCAGAATACTTCAGAAGTTAATTCGTGGATTTTGTGGGGATTCAGAGGGAGACGGGGAAGTAGGAATGGCCTGCACGTTGAGAAGTTTATGCAGGAGGATGGAGGGGTGGACCCCACAGGAAAGAGGTCAAAAGAAGATGGAACCACTCAAGAGGCCCAGGCAGGGGAAGGCTGGGTAGAGCTCAGGCCAAAGTTAGGTGGGAGGCTGGTAGGAGGAGCCCTCCTCTGTGGAGTCACCCACTCCGGGAAGGCTGGACTTGTTTCCACAATGGGAGAGTCTGGTGGACCTCACTTCTGGACTTGCTATTTTTCAATATGTTGGACCCTGAAAGATGGATCCCAGAAGTCTATATCAGGGAAACTACACCCCCAAACAAAAGTCACAGACAAGGAGGGAAGGTCCTCTGGTCCAGGAAACAGCACTAGCCCTGCTCCAGACTGAGAAGGAGGGGACTCTGCAGTGTGAGCTAAGCCTCTGGTGGACAGAGGTTGCCAGCAAAGCCACAGTTTTTTTCCCCAAGACGTGAAAGCTCAAGGCCAAGGGAAACACATCTGTGGGCAGGAGCAGCTGCTGGGACAATGGGTCTCCCAACTTGAGTTGCACCCCTTATCCGGTTGCTACACTGAGGGTTAGAATTCAACGCGTCTGTTGCCCAAGTCTTTTTGGAATTCTCTTCATAGGCACCAGCAGCCAGAGCCCCAGCTCTCAAGGATATTTAAAACATCCAGTTGGGATCTGCTTCTCTCCATCCACACATCTGACTTTCAGGTCGTGATGCTAAAGTCTAGCAAACGACACAGAGAACTGGGACAAAGTATTGCCCCAAGAAGAATCTAAGGAGGGGTGACCATGAGGGAATGTTGGCAGCAGGCTGACAGGATGGAGCTGGAGAAATGGACCCGAAAGGCAGCCCACCTCCCTCCCTCCCTCATTCACTCATACACTCATTGACACCCCTGACTCCTTCTATGTGCTGAGCACTTGCGAGGTTCTGGGGACATAAAGTGAGTCAGACAGGGTCCTGTCCTGTCTGGAGCTGAGTTGAGCTGGTGCCCATGGGCACAAAAGCAAAGGATCTTGTGGGGACTCCTGGCTGCCAGCCGGGGCTTGCTCAGGTTCATCCCATGCCTGCCCTTGCCTCATCCCTTACCTCAGCAGCACTCACACGTTCAGCTTCCCTGCTCCCAGAGATGCTCCCTGTCCCCTGCTGCCCATGCACCCTCCCCTCTGCCACCTGGAGCACCCGGCCCTTCCCTCACCTGGCCTCCTTCCCTCACCTGGCCCCCTCCTGCTTGCCTTGGCCACTCAGCACAGAGTGATCTCCTCTGTGGACCTGCTGGCCCCTCAGTGTGATCAGACTCCCATGGTTCCATGGGCTTCCTTCTGCCTCTAGAAACCCTGCAGCCCCCCGGGCACTCCTGCCACCCTTCCCCCTCCATGCTGTCGCTGTCGTCGGCACATTCTAACCCCTGCAAGATGGTATTTTATCTTTGGTCTTAAAAAGTCATTCATATTTTTAAAAACTTTATAGTCTTCAACTATTTATCTTTTTTGCAGTACTGAGGATTAAACCTAGAGGGCGCTCTACCACTGAGCTAAAACCCCAGCTTGTTTTTTTTTTCTTTCCACGTTTTTCAATTGTACATTATATTTACTCGCAATGATGAGCCTTGTTGCTACATATTCATACATGCATATAATATAACAATAATACTTGGCCAATACCACTCCTCAGCTTCCCTCCCCTCCCTATCTTCAACCCCTGTTCTTTCCTCTATCTCCCTTTGATTTTCATGAGATCGCCCACCCCTTCCCCCCCTTTCTTTTCCTATTTCCTCTCTAGCTTCCACATATGAGAGCAAACATATGACTCTTGACCTGAGTTTGACTGATTTCACTTGACATAATGGTCTCAAGTTCCATCCATTTTCCTGCAAATGACATAATTTCATTTTTCTATATGGCTCCATTGCATATATATACCATGTTTTCTTTTTAAATTTTTTTTTTCATTTAGGTAGAGGTGGACACATAACCTTTATTTATTTTATGTGATGCTCAGGATCAAACCTAGTGCCTCACCCATGCTAGGCGAGCCCTCTACCTCTGAGCCACAACCCCAGCCCTATCATGTTTTCTGTATCTGTTCATCTGTTGATGGACACCCAGGCTGGTTCCAGTTTGGTTATTGTGAATCACAATACTGTAAACATGGATATGCATCTGTCGCTATACTATGGTGACTTTAATTCTTCAGGATAAATACCAAGGAATGATCTAGCTGGATCATATGGTGGTTGCATGCCTAGTCTTTTGAGGAAGCTCCATGCTGATTTCCATAGTGGTTATATTCATTTACAATCCCATGACAGTGTAAAAATGTTTCTTTTTCTCCACATTCTCTTTACCCAGCTCTTAAATTTTGAGACAGGGTCTCACTAAGTTGCAGAGGCTGGTCTTGATCTTGTGACCCTCCTGCCTCAGTCTCCTCAGTTGCTGGATTACAGATGTGCACCACCGCATCTGGCCAATTATTGATAATTTCTGATGCTCTTCAACTGTGTCTGGAGCCTTGATTCTCCCTCTGGTAACCCTTCTCCTTAGCTGAGGAACCTCAGCTTTTGCAAGTCTTTTCATGCATCCCCGGAGGCAACGAATTCTTCAGATTCTCCTTTATCAAAAATAGTCATCACTTTGCTTTCATTTTTGAAAGATGTTTTGTCTGTCTATAGAATCTGTGGTTGGCAGGGTGTTTTCGAGCCCTTTAATCATGTTGTTCCGCGGTCCTCCGGCTTCCCTAGATTTTGAATGACTCTCTCTGAGTTTTTTCCATCAACAAAGGCTGGTGGCTTTTGTCCCCCAGCTGCCACCAGGGCCTCAGACAGAAGAGCACCGCAGGGATCCCCTTGCCTGGGGTCCCTTCCAGTGACCTCACCACTGGGGGTGCATTGCAGCATAGCTTCAAGGACAAACCCCAACCGAGTGGGTTTAAGAGTCTGTGGTACACGCAGACCTCCCTTGCGGCAGGCGATCGGGCTGTGGAGGGGCTGAGGTGAGCCTGGGCCCGGCACGCATGCGCACAAGCCAGGACGCGCAGCACAAGGGCCGCACTTAGGGGCCAGTGGCATTTGCTGGGTCACACAGAGAGTTATCCACCCAGGTTTCCCGGGGGGCACAGTATTGTAACTGGAGTCAAGGATGCTGAGAGCTGCTTCTAGAGAGAGAAAGTTATATTTGGAGTTAAAATGAATGCCAAGACACCCCAACCCACACCCCACAAAGGTTCGGCGTGAAGTTCTTGTTTGTTGGTACCCTTGATCCTCCTGTGTGATACGTCCATTTTCTCGGGCTGCTTTCGGGAGTTTGTATTTATTTTGATTTTTGGCCAAGTCCATTATGATGGGCCTAGGTGAAGTTGTGGGGTTGATTTTGTTGGGGGTCCACAGAACTTCTTGGACAGGTAAATTTTCCCTCTAAATTTGGCAAGTTTTAAGCCATTATTATTATTTTTTTCCCAGTTGCTGCTGGGGATTGAACTTAGGGACACTAGACCACTGAGCCACATCCCCAGCCCTGTTTTCCTATTTTGCATTTTATTTAGAGACAGGGTCTCACTGAGTTGCTCAGCGCCTCACTTTTGCTGAGGCTGGCTTTGAACTTGTGATCCTCATGCCTCAGCCTCCCGAGCTGCTGGGATTACAGGTGTGGGCCACCACGCCCTCTGAGTTCATTTATTTATTTGTATGTGATGCTGAGGATCAAACCAGGTCCTCACATGTGCTAGGCAAGCGCTCCACGGCTGAGCCCAACCCTAGCCCTCAGCCATTATTTCTTGAAATACTTGTTTGCCATTCCGTTCTCTCCTCACTTGTCTGTCTGAGATTCCAGCTCTCCAACTATCCTTAGAACTTCTCACATTTCTTCACAGGTCCCCAAGACTGTTTATTATTGTTTTTAAATGTTTTTCCTTGTATTTCTTCGGATTGGGTAATTTCCAAAGATCTGTTTAATTCCCTCTATCATCTGCATTTTACTATTAAGCACACCTATTTAATTTCCATATTCCAGGTACTGCATATTTCAATTCTAAATTTTTCTTTGGCTCCTTTTTTTCCTGTTTCTCTGTCGGCGTTCTTAAAATTTCATTCAAGTGTATTTTTCCCGAACTCAACAAGTATAGTTAGAATAACTGCTTTTAAGTTTTTATCTAATTCCAACATCGGGGTCTCCTCAAAGTTGGCCTCTATGGATTGTCTTTTGTTTTGAGAATGGGTTACATTTTCCTTGCTCTTTCTCTGTCAGGTAATTACTGCATTGTGAAAATACGAGTGTTGTGTTGAAGACTCTGGATTCTGTTGTAATCCTCCAACCATTTGGTTCTCTGTATCGATGTGGCTAGCCAGAAGGAGCGGTTCCATCTTGCCTGTGATGTGAGGCCGCTGAGCTCTCCTGTGAGACTGCTTTTGGTCTGCTGCGTGCCTGTGTGGCTGAGGATCAGCAGGACACTGGGGTAGACTGGAGACAAATCTTGGAGTGTCCCTTCTTTGTCTTTCACTTTGAACCCTTTCTTCTCATTCTCCAGCAGGAGCCGTTGCCCTGGGCTTCCTTCCGCTTCCTCAGGGCAGCTGTTTCCCATTGGCTGCCCTCAACAAAAAGCTGAAAAAATAGAGAACTCATCTGTGTTCATTTTTTCCTTTTTTTTTTTTTTTTTTTTTGGTACCAGGGATCGAACTCAGGGGTGCTTAACCACTGAGCCACATCCCCAGCCCTCTTTTATATTTTATTAGCCACAGAGTCTCGCTGAGTCGCTTAGAGCCTTGCTAAGTGCTGAGGCTGGCTTTGAACTCACGATCCTCCTGCCTCAGCCTCCCAAATCTCTGGGATTACAGGCATGTGCCACTGTGCTTGGCCAGGGCCCATCATTTTCTCCATATTGATTCCTCTCAACATCTTCCTGTTTTGACTTGTTCTCCTGAGCCTGCAGGTAGTGGTGTTATATTTTGTCTAGAGTGTGTGGTGCTGATTTCAGGAGACTCCCTGAACTTGCTTTTGAGCCTCAGTTCTTTTGTGGACTTGCTGTGTGATCTTGAGAAAGCCACTGTCCCTGTCTCTGCCTCAGTTTCCCTACCTACACAACAAGGTGATAATTCTGTTCCTTTTCAAAGTAAGTGCATTGCTCCCAGAGACTTGGGAGGCTGAAGCAGGAGGACTGAAATTCCAGGCCAACCTGAGCAAATTAGTGAGACCCTGTCTCAACATTAAAAAAAAAAAAAAAAATCTGTCTACTGGTGATGTAGCTCAATGGTAAAGCACCCCTGGGTTCAATCCTCAGTACAAAAACACAAAAGTACATCGCAAATTGTAGTATGCTCTTTGGATATAATCCTGCCCATCTGTTATGGATCCTTCACGGTAAGGGCCCCAGATGCACCGTGGACATTTTTCCTAGTGAAAAGACCCTGTGGGGAGAGTGAGATGGGGGCCCCTATATTCCAGTCCCCCCCTTATTGTTATTGTTATGGTACATTGGGAAACTTAGGGTCCCTGACTTGGGACTCAGATCTACATTCCAGTTTCTCTCTGCCTTTGAGCCTGAGTTGGTCTGCCGATTGTCCTCTGTAAAAGGTGCACCGTCCTCCCAGAGTTGCTGTGGGGCTGAAATGTGATGGTCGAGAAGGAGCCCTCAGCTGTGGATCACACGGGAAATGGGGTTGGCTTGCTTCCTTGGTCCCTGCTCAGCTCAGCAATCCTGGCCACTCCCTGGCTTCCTGTGTTCCTAGAGAAAGGGCGTACAATCAGGCAGAGCTGAGCTGCTGAGAAAGCCAGGGTTTCTGTAAGAGACTCCTCGGTCTTCTGTGTCCACCAACGTGTGCTTCTTAACACCAACGTGTGCTTCTTAATTTCTGTTTTCATTAAGATACACGCACACACGTGTGCACACTCCAACACACACACACACACACACACACACACAATTCCCTTCTGTCTGCCCTAGACTAGGCCTTGCACAGGGCAATGGGGACATAGATGCAGTTGAGAATCCACGGCCCAGGCTCCATGGCCTCGCGGAGGGCAGCAGACAAGGAGAGAGGGCCTGGGCTAGGTTCAAGCCAGGAATCACTGCACTGGAGACAACTGACCCCACCAGGAAGGATCCAGAGGGTTTCTGGAAGAGGCTGTCCCTGCTTTGGGCTGGGGATGACCTAGATTCTCTCAGGCAACGAAATCAAACACCTGGCTACACCCAGGTGTGTGGCACTCAGTAACCATCAGTTCGGCTGTTTCTCATCTGACACCGTCTCTGGGTTCCCAAAGCTTTGTGCTGTGTGAAATTGGGGCTGGGAAAGACCCTCAAAATCTGCAGAACAATGATCCTGATACAGTGGGATGATCCCTCCCCAGTTGAACCTCCACCTGCCACCTAACCACATTTGTCACCTCAAGCCCCAATCCCTGATCCTTCCCTTGAGAGGTAGGTCTGGGAGGGCTTTTGCTCCTCTCTGTCACAGCAGCACCCATGCTGGGCAAGCTCTCTACCACGGAGTCACATCTTCAGCCCTTTTTACTTTATTTTGAAACAGGGTCTTGCTAAATTGCCCAGGCTGGCTTCAAAGTTGTGATCCTCCTGCCTCAGCTCCCTGGTGCTAAGATGTGTGCCATCGCACCCAGCAAGCCTTTGCTTTTGATAGAGATTATTTTATCAAAATTAAAATCGGATACAGAGGGCAGCCCTCCTGATTGACCCACCACTTGAATATAGCAGGAAATGTCTCAGTGCCGTCCTCACCCACATTTCAGCTTCACCAAATTTAACATTATGGAGAGCTCAGGGGTTCTGGGAGCAGCTAACCAGCCACATTTTACACACGGGGAACAGCTGGAAGCTATCCAGGTGACAGGAGGAAAGAAAGGTGGCACTGGGGTCTGCAGACCGCAAATTTTTGCCAAATCCTTATTCACGGAGGACACATCCTGAGACCCCCAGTGGAGGCCTGAAACTGCAGATAGCACTGAACTCTATGTATACTATTTTTTTCCTATTAAATGGAGAATTTTTCATTTTGTTTTTCTTAAGGGAAGCACTTTACAGCTACTCTTTGGCATATCTAAATTTCTAGCATCACTAGGCTGAGGCTGTGGCTCAGTGGTAGAGCACTCGCCTGGCACCGGTGAGGCACTGGGTTCAAACCTCAGCACCACATAAAAATAAATAAATAAACAAAAATAAAGATATTGTGTCCACCTCCAACTAAAAAAAAATTTTAAAGATGAAATAAAATGAATTTCCAGCATCACTACTCTTGTGCTTAGAATCATTATTAAGCAAAATGAGGGTTACTTGAAGACAAGTACTGTCATACTAGACGGTTGATCTGGTAAACTGAGATGGCCACTGTGACTGATGGGTAGGTAGCATATACAGTGTGGTTACCCTGGACAAAAGAATGATCCACATCCCATATGGGGTGGACTGAGATGGTGAAAGATTTCATCATGCTATTAAGAATACCATACATTTCAAACTTATGAATTGTTTCTGCAAATCTTCATTTAATCCTTTCAGATTGAGTTGACCTCCAGACACTGAAACCTCAGAACGCAAAAGTGCAGACAAGGGGAGGACTACTGTAACTAGGAAGGCTGCGTACAAACTGTCAAATGACAAGGAACTAAGACGCACAGGGAGTCAGCGTCAGGACTGCAGGCGATCACAGAGCCTGTGTGGGAGCAGGTGCCCAGGAGGATGGAGGCTGGATGGTAGGCCATGGCTGAACTTGACCGACCCTCTGGTTCAGCCAGCCCAGGGATGGAGCTGGGGTTCAGGGTGGAGCCCAGCAGACATTCCTTCTGTGTGGTTTCAGTTCCCATTTATGTGCATCTTGGATTTTAGAGAGGGGTCTGGCAATAAGTCAGTAACGGGCCCTCTGGATGGTGCCCAGAGGTGACAATAGTCAGATCTCACCAGTCAGTGATCCTAAGGAGCAGGTAGGAGCATGCTTCTCCCCACCTTGCCCTCAAAATAATCCTTTAAAGAAAAGCTGTGGTTCCCATGTGACAAGCTTCTGGGTAACTCATCGGAGGCAGCAGAGCATGCAGCAGACCTAGGTGGGCTCACAGCCCCTGAAGGGCACAGGGAAGGGGCCTCCAGTGAGCGGCGGCTCTGCAGGATGAGCGAAGGTCTCCTCTCCTGGCCACCAGGAGGACGTGAGCCATCTGTGGCAAACGGAGAACAAAGGAGGAGACTTTCCCAGCCAGGCATCAGCTTATTGGGACAAACAAGATGCCCACAGAGATATTCTCACCAAGGCCGAGGTGCTTGTCAGGCCCACTTCTCTCCTCCCGAGGTCACCAAGCACGTGTGACCGGCTTGTCAGGGTGCAGCGTCGGCTCTCACGAGGATGCTGTTTGGAAAAGCCTTTGACTCCCAGGCGTTTCTTCCTCAGATCCTCCATCATTACTGGCCAGTCCAACCCTCGGGGGACAGGGCTCGTGCAGGGCTGGACTGAGGCGGAGGAGTGGAGCACGGGTTCCCTGGGACGGGCGCTGGAGGTTCCCCCGGGTGGAGGAGGTGGCGGCAGGACGAGGCAGCCTGGGCATGCAGAGGTGGGAGGAGGGCGCAGGGGAGACCTGAGGTCCAGATGTGAACAAAGGCCAGCAGGGGTCGGCATGCCAGGTGGTCCACGTGGCTCGGCTCCTGCTGCGCCCCTGGGCGAGGGCTGAGGGCCGGGAACGCCACCCGTTGCCAGCAGCCTCTGCAGGGCGGGAGGTGGCGCTGTCGGCACACACATCTGAGTTGAACCACGTCTGCACCCCGGGGACCTCGGGGCACTGGCGCCCGCAGAGCGGCTGCCGCTTCCGTTGTCAGCAGTAACTGGAGCTGTGAGGGGGCGACAGGGAGGGGACGGGGAGGGAGCGACAGGGAGGGGCCGGAGCAGGGAGAGGCGGTGGCTGGCACACGGATGGGGCGGGCAGAAAGTCGAAATCACCCCAGAAACACCCTGGGGGCTCCCGAAAACAGCAGAAGAATTGAATGGGCTCTGGAAAGCGACAGAGAGGAGGGTGGAGCCAGAGAAATCAGCCGTGCCCAGCGCCCAGAGCAGGAGAGCAGGCCGAAACTCCATCCCTGAGCACTGGCTCGCTTTCCTGCAGCACAGAGCCGTCAGGTCTGCTTGGGCTCAGTGCAGATGAGAAAGGGCCCAACCTTCCCCTGGGGGGGCCCTCGATCCAGGGCCTCCCCCTCCCCTCTGCCTTCCACCATGGTCTCACGGAGCCTCCACCCCTCTGATCCGAGCTGTGGCTTTCAAGAGCATTGTGAGTGTCACTAGGGCTACTGGTCACACTTTTCCTTCTTTCCTCCTTTCAGATATGATGTGGGATTATTCTTCCTGGTCTCCTTATGGCCGGGGCAGGTGGGGGATGTGTAACCAGCTCTGGCCAATGAGTTCTGAGTGGAAATAACCTGTCATTTCTTAGCCATAGTATGCGATGCTGACAGAAGATCCTTTTCCTTTACTATGACAACTAGCTGTGTTCCAGACTGCCTGTGCCATATCCCTGAGTCCAGGAGGGAAGATGACAGGAGCCATGGAGCACCTGACCCGTGACAGACATGCAGCATGAGCAAGCAATGACCTCTGTTGTTGTAAACCGCTAAGGTCTGGGTTTGTTTGTTACTGCAGCATAACATAGACTGTCCTGGCTGATATGAGCAAACTCTTGGAGATCATGGGGCTATCTATAGGGCACTGTGAAGGTAAAAACCTTTACTTTCTTATATAAACTACAATTATTTTTTTATTAGTTACACGTGACAGTACAATGATCTTGACAATTCATACATTTGAATCAAATGGGGAACAGTTATTATTAATAGTAATGAGTATCCCACAGGAAGCAACTACTACCTGTCGGGAATTGTTCTAGTTTCTTTGGTAGATGTTTTCTCATTGATCCCCACCACAGCCCTGTGGGTTTTGAATTATTGGCTTGTTCCGTGTCAATCTCATTGTAGAGCTCAAGGGACTGAGGTTCAGGGACACTCAAGGTTGCTGTGATCACTACGACTAAGGGGTAGAATTCAGATCCAGATGTTGGAGTCTCTAACTCCAAAACACTCACTTTCTCCATCCCTGGGCTATTATTACCATCCCAAGAATAAATAAAATATTTTTAAGAGGAAGGATCTCTTTACAGGGAACACATTAGCATCTGCCTTCTGACTAAATTGAATGTGAAAGGTGATCCCCACAGGCTGAACAAACAGGCTTGCCCTCGAGGGTGATTATTTCTGAGATGGAATCTGTCTGTGCTGTCCAGGATCATGTCTAGCTCCTGAGCTTAAGAGATCCTCCTGCCTCAGCCTCCCGAGTGCTGGGATCACAGGTGAGCACCGCGGCGCCTGGCTTGGTATGTTATTTGGCAAGGGAATCTCCCTTTTTCTCCTCTGATTGGGTGCTCCACCAGATAAGCCACAGCAAGCACCAAAGGCTTAAGAAAAATGTAAAGAGGCCATTCACCCATCATGTTTTAATGTTATGAATGAGCTGAGAGATCGGAAGGGTGAGGAGTCTCATTGCCTAGAGGTGAGCTTCTCCAGGACGGGAGCTCCCCATTCTGACTTCTAAGTAAGCATTTGGATTTGCGTTCATATGAAATGACACCGTTATGTCTCCTAAACATAGGTGAAATGTCCCCTAAAAGCTCACGTGTGAGACAATGCGAGAGGGTTCAGAGGAGAAATAATTAGGTTGTGAGAGCCTTAAACCAGTCAGTGAATTCTTCCCCTGATAGGGACTAACTGAGTGGTAACTGCAGGCAGCTGGGGTGTGGCTGGGGGGGCACTGGAGGCGTGGCTTTGGGGGATATGTTTGCATCTGGCCAGTGGCATCTCTCTCTGCTTCCAGTGGGCTGCTTCCCCCTGCCACCCTCTCCCACCTGGAGCCCGAGGAACGGAGCCAGCCTTCTGTGGACTGAGACCTCTGAAACGGTGAGCCCCCAAACTTTCCTCCTCTACAGCTGTTCTGGGCTGGTCTTTTAGTCACAGCAACAAAAAGTCTGACTAAAACAAACCCTGAGTGACCTCGGGTGCCTTTTACTTCCCTCTACTGCGAACACCTTTTTTTAAAAAATATTTTTAGTTGGGCCGGGGTTGTGGCTCAGCGGTAGAGCACTCGCCTAGCATGTGTGCGTCCTGGGATTGATCCTCAGCCCTGCACAAAAATAAGTAAAGGTATTGTGTCCAATTAAAACTAAAAAATAAGTACTTTAAAAATATTTTTAGGGGGCTGGGGATATGGCTCAAGCAGTAGCGCACTCTCCTGGCATGCGTGCGGCCCGGGTTCGATCCTCAGCACCACATACCAACAAAGATGTTGTGTCCGCCGAAAACTGAAAAATAAAAATATTAAAAAAAATTCTCTCTCAAAAAAAATAGTTTTAGTTATAGTTGGACACAATGCCTTTATATATTTATTTATTTTAAATATTTATTTTATAGTTGGACAGAATACTTTTATTTCACTCATTTATTTTTTACGTGGTGCTGAGGATCGAACCCAGGGTCCCTGTGCGTGCAAGAGGAGCGCTCTACCGCTGAGCCACAACCCCAGCCCCAATACCTTTATTTTTTAATATTCATTTTTTAGTTGTAGTTGGACATAATACCTTCATTATATTTATTTATCTTTATGTGGTTCTGGGAATCGAACCCAGTGCCTCACACATGTTAGGCAAGTGCTCGACCACTGAGCCACGACCTCAGTCCCTATTGCTAACATCTTGCCAAAGTTTTGAATGTTGACAAATAAATGAAGCATTTAAGGCCTAGAGTGTAGCTCAGTGGCAGATGTGAGGCCAGCACTGAAAAAAATAATGATAATTAATCGTTGTTATTGTTTGGATGTTGACTGTCCCCCAAAGATATGTGGGTTAAAGGCTTGTTCCCCGTGGTGTCACTATTGGGACGTGATAGACCCTTGAAGATAGTGAACCATGGAAGGGCATTACGGGATCTGTGTCTTCTTCTTTTTTTAAATATTTTTTTAGCTGTAGATGGACACAATACCTTTATTTTTATGTGGTGCCTCACACGTGCAAGGCGTGCGATCTACCATTGAGCCACAACCCCAGCCCCATGTGTCTTCTTCTTGGTCCTCCTTTTTGCTCCCTGGATCATGAGATGAGCAGTTTTTTTCTACCAATATGGTCCTGCCACGAATGTGCTGCTTCCGCACAGGCTCAGAGCAATGGGGACAATTGATCCTGGACTGAAGGCTCCAAAACTGTGAGCTAAAATAAACCTTTTCTCTTTGTAAGCTGATTATCTCGGGTATTTCATTATAGTGAAGAAAGCTGACTGACACAATTGCTATCTGTACGAACACACACAGATTTAATATACAATTGGCCAGTTTTCCATTTGGACTTTCAGACTGCTGATTGTATTTGTGCCAAAGGCTGCTTCTTGGACCACCTCTTCCCTGTTGCAGCCAGGATATTAACATTGATATGATCAGGCTGTAGAACATTTCCATTGCTGCAAGGACCGTCGGGTTGTACTTCCACAGACACACCCACCTTCTCTGCCCCTGCACCCCTCAGCAACTCCTGGCAACTGTTAATCTCTTCTTCGTTTCTGCAATCCTACCCTCTCTGGGTCGCAGGAATGAAAGCGTACAAAACATAGTTCTTGGGGATTCGGAGTGTCCACACTCAGCACAGTTCTCTGGAGGCATTTGGCCACTGCACACATCAGCAGGGTCACCGATGTCCCACCATGAGCACCTTTACACAGGCACTTGTGTGCTTGGTCCTGAAGGGCAGCATCAGCTGTGCTCAGAGCGTGGGTTCTGGAGTTTGAAACTCTAGAACTTACTGCCCAGGTGAGGTTGAGCCGGTGCCTTCACCTCCGTCTGCCTTGGTTTTCCCATGTGCAGAGCAGGAAGAGTGGCAATGCCCGCATCCCACGGCTGCCTTGAACATTAGATGAATCCACTCCTGGGACAGGCTCAGTTCACAGCCTGGATTAAAGTAAGAACTCAACGAATATTACAAAATATAGTCGGAATTCACCATGCACCTCCACTGAGCTGAACTGATAAACCTAGAATAAGAAACATAAAATTTGCAAGATGTTCAAATCAGGAGGTGGTGGCACATTATAAAAGGAATTATTTTTTTCTAGAATTCTCACACAAATTCTCTCTAAATAATGAGCTTCCCGAGACTCTTTGAAATAGGTGGGTTTGGAAACGACCCAGCAGAACAAGTCAGCAGGGCTGCGTCCATTCAAGTACAGTCGCGGCCTCGCTGGGACAGTAGTAATTTGATTCACTCAATATTTACCTGCTCTTGCTGCATCAATGTCAGGAACTGGTCTAGGTGTCAGGGAGGCAGAATGCAGACAGTGCCCTGCCCCAGGGCAGGTAACAATGTGAAGGAGGAAGCTCTTCTACCTCAGCATACTTACAAGGAGGTGGAAATGACAGGTAGGAGGAGGAGGATCTGAGGCTGGAAACCAGAAGCCCTGCAGTGGGTGACCTTGGGGGAAGGTGGACATGTCCTTGGGAGAAGGCAGCCGTGCCCTGTGCTTTAGATTTGAAGAAATGGAATTGGTGCTCGTCTCTGTAGCATGACCAGGTGTGGGTCCACCTGCAGGCAGGGCATGCTCTTGTTGGGCCATCTGGTCCTCTCCGCCCCGTGCACCTCTCCAAGTCCCTCAGGTGTGTTGATGTGACTCCAGGACACGCTGCCCTGCGGTGATGAGGGGTAGCTGGGACCTTGGCTCCCAGTGGCTCCCAGTTGAAGTGGTGACTTGCAGGAGGAGCCAGCATCACCTTGTGAATTGCCCCGGGGCCACCTGTGCCCGAGCCCAGGGACCAGTGGGGGAGCTGCAGTCCGACTGCAAAGCCAGAGTTTCCTCCAAGAGCTGCTAACTGGCCCATGACCTTGGCCTCATTAGCTCCGCACTCTCCACCTGAGCTGCCTGGATTGGGGCCAGCCAGGGAAATTAGCTCAGGCCCACAGGCCCCTGGGAGAGGTGTCAGGCAAAAATAGATCCGAGGAAGCCAGAGGATCCTCACCCAGGGGGGCCCGGGAGGTCAGCTGCTCCAGACCGTCCAGCTCTGCAGATGGAAACCGAGGCCAAGGTTGTGTTGTGATGCGGGCAGAGCTGGGTGGGGTGGAGGTCCCCCGAGTCCCAAATGCACGTTCTTTCCTCCCCTGGGGCTCCCATCCGGCGGGATCAGGGAGATGAACATAAGAATTACAGGTAATGAGAACATGACAGGCCATTTCTGTTCTTGAAAAAGAATATAAAGAAAATTTTAAAATAGCCTATAACAGAAAATAACCCATTGAGAGGCCGTGTCAGGTAGCAGCTAAAAGGAGACTCCGCCGCCTGAGTTTGATCCCAGCCCCGTTCCTTTCCGGTCAAGTGTCTTCAGGCAGGTAACTTAACCCTCTGTGCCTGGTGCCCTCACCTGTCCACAGGGACAGCGGCGGAGCCTGCCGAGAGGCAGGGCTCATCCTCCAAGCGCTGAGACCCAGGGGCGGAGGGGCAGGCACAGCCCTGGGAGGGAATTACAAAATGGAGGGATTACAAAACGGAAGAGGAAGAAAAGGCTAAGGGGCTGAGTGTGCGCTCTGAGTGTGTGTGTGTGTGTGTGTGTGTGTGTGTGTGTGTACATGCAGGTGTGCTGGGTGGAACCAGCCTCGTGCCTGCTGGGCACACTCTGCACCGCTGAGCTGCACCACATACAAAGAGTATCCTTTTAGAGGTGGCAGGAAAGCCCTGCTCTGCCAAGGTTCTGCACTTGCCTTGACCTTCTTTTCAGTGGCCACCTGGTGTCCCCTAATGGGGAGCTGAACCAGACCCAGGGGTAGGTGGTTTTGGCAGGAAGGATTGGCTCCTGTACCTGCCACGGATGGAGTCCCTGTCACAGAAGCAGGTCGCGTGGCCTTGACATCAGCTCTGCAGCCCCACGCAAATAATGGCTTCCTTTCCGTACCGGGCACCACATCTTGTCCCACAATAACTAGCTCGGGTAGGTGGCCACAAGGATCCTGTCGATGGTGAGGGGCAGAGATGCAGTTGGCCACCCCAGGTCGTGCCGCTAGTCGGGCCAGAGCTGACGGTAGCCCAAGCAGTGTGACTGGAGGAGGCGCCGGGCCCATCACCCCTGCCTTCTCGGCTTGGCCCCTCCGTCAGGCCCCTCTCTGCCCCTCGCTGCAGCTGACACAGCACCGTGCGCCAGGACGGGGAGGGGGTGCCCACTGAGCAGCCGGGTACCCTCAGGTGGGGCGTCCTTGGGCATAAGTCTTGGTACGACCCAGGCAGGACTGGGAGGGTCAGGCGCTGGTCAGAGAGGGAGAGTGTCCCTGCACACTTGCAGTCATCGTCCAGTGTGACTCCCTGCCCCTCCTGGAAACAGCTGGACTCGCCAGCTGTCAGTGCCATGCATTTGTACCTGGACTGGTGCATGGTCCATGGCTGAAGTCTGTGGAAGCCTTGATTTCCTGTCCAGGGTCACACACCGGCTTCAGGTTTTGGGTGGCTCCTAAACCAGCCCCAGGAGCCCCCTGTTTCCAGAATCCCAGAGACCAGCTGTCTCGGGGCTCCCTCCTGGGCAGGGTGATCGATGGACAGCTGGGAGGGGTCTCAGCCTTGGAGAGGGTCCAGGGACCGGCAGTGAGGGCTTTGCTAGGGTTGGCGGCAGGGGCCATTTGGGAGGCGGTACTGGTGCTGGTTTGTCTCCAGGACACTGCCCAGTGTGACTGTGAGACCCACTTTCGCCTCTAGGAGCCCCTCAGGCTGAGAAACTGCCCCCTGGGGGGGGCACATGACCTGGACTGTCCTCCCTTGGCAGTAGCGGCCACCGCTGGGCACCGCAGGAAGCGGAGGTGGAGGAGGGAACCTGTGGTCCTGCACCACGGCACCGTGGCCTGGAGAAGCCTTCAAGGAGACCCGCCCTGGCCCTGGAGGGACACCCGCCCTCCCTGGGGGTTCCCATCCCCCTCTGCCACAGGAACAGCCTCTTGCCCAGCAGCCTCCACTGTAGACAGCAAGCAGGGCCACCCTCCCTGGCCACATTAAAGGAGAGCAGATAGGTCCCAGCTGTGAATACACACCCCCTCTGCACCCACATGGTCCTGGAGCCCGTGTGCAAGACAGAGGCCGACCCACTCCCAACCACACTGACAACCACACCAATACGCACAACTCGGAACCATGTCACCTGGCTGGGAAAACCACGAGGTCCAACAATGCCAGGGCTGGACAGAAAGTGGAATGACAGAGGTCCCCAAATTCCACGGGTGGAAGTGTAAATGGACACAATCATTCTGGAAAATAAACTGTATTATCTAAGAGAATTGAATGGAAGCATACTCTATGGCTCATCAACTCCAGTCCTAAATCCCCTGGAAAATGCTTTCATATAAACACAAGGAAGTATGGATAAATATGTAACATCACTGTACGCAAGAAAAACTAGAAACAATCCAAATATCCACCAATGACTGAATGGATAAATGGATTAAAGGATATATGTGTTTGTAAACTAGAATAGTATGCAGCAAAGTAAAAGCATGATTACAGCTAACAGGCATCAACATACATGAACCTGAAAAACATAACCTGTAACTGAAACATATTATGGAAGAATGCATTTAACATTGTTCTGACTCATAAAAATCAGGGTAGGTCAGGCCAAACATTATTTACAGATATACATGGCAAGACAAAGGAAGACAAAAATAATTAGCATAAAATAGAGAGTTATTATTACCTCTGGAGGGAAAGGAGATTTCGTTATGGAAAGGCACATGAAGTGGTAATGAAATGTTTTCTTTCTGAAACTAGAGGTGTGTACCTTGGAATACATTGTATAATTCTTTAAACTATTTTTATATATTATGTATACATCTTTGTTCTTTGTCTATGTTGCTAAGACAACATTTTTTAAAAAATCTTTGTTACCCAAATTAGGAGAAAACTTTATTATTATTATTATTATTATTACTATTATTATTTTGGTATCAGGGCTTGAACCCAGAGGCACTTAACCACTGAATCACATTCCCAACGCTTATTTATTTATTTTTAAATATTTTGTTTTCATTGTAGTTGGACACAATATCTTTATTTTATTTTTATGTGGTGCTGAGGATCTAACCCAGCGCCCCGCACATGCTATGCCACAGCCCCAGCTCCCAACCCTTATTTTTTAATATTTTATTTTGAGACAGGGTCTCACTAAGTTGCTTGGGCTGGCTTTGAACTTGTGATCCTCCTGACTGGCCCCCTGAGCCACTGGGATTATGGGTGTTTGCCACTGGGCCGGTGTTTCTGTTGAGCAGAGGAAACTTCCCGGAGACCCCTCCGTCACTCGGACGGAGCCTGTCAGATCTGCCTGCTGACACACAGGAATCCCTCGAGGCACGTGTTCCCTCAACAGGGCCAGGAGTAAGGTGGATGGGTCACCCCAGGTGGGAGCTGAGGGTGGAGGGGTGCAATATGCAGATGAGCTGGACTCAGCCCGGTGTCTACCACAAGCCACACCCCTTCCCCAGAGAGCAGGCAATAGAGTGGGGGGCACCACGTGGAATGAGAAGAGGGGAAGGGGATTCCCCCTGGGAAAAAGGGCTATTTCAGAAGAACAGGAAATAGATGTGGGCTGGAAAAGAATAATAACAAGAATGTACACGTGTATATGAGAATGTTCTCAAAGGTCAAGTAGCGGAAATCACTGTTGAGATTTGAGGTAGGGCAGGTCCAGGAAGCTGGCCCAGAGGCGAACAGCTTGGCAAGGACCCCGATCTCTTCCTCTGGGTCCTCCTTCGTCACCACCCTGGTTGTCAACTTCTGCCCCTCCTGCACAGAATAGCTGTAGATGTTTTCACTGCGTAGCGTACTAGCCTCACAGACCAATGTCCTGGGACACAAGAGGGTGGCTGCCTCTCTTGACCAAGAGGCTCACCCAAGCCCAACCCCGCCCACCTGGACTCCGGTCTCCCCACCACAGCACAATGTGGCTGCCTGGCCTTTCATAGACCAGCCCTCCAGACTGTGTTTCCATGTTTGTTCTAGCCCAGGGCTGGAGCTGGGAGCCCCACCATCTGTGACTCACACAAGAACCTGATTTTTCTGAATCAGATTAGGATGAGAGGAAGAGGATTTGACAACTGGATTAGCTCAACACGTTGGTATTTCTGTCTTTAGCTTGTCTCAGCCCAAATTTGTAGCAGAGCAGATGTCAGGGGGCCCAGCTGTGCTTGTCCTAGGGATGATTGTGTATTGGTTGTCTGTTGCTGCCTAATAAACCGTCCCATGACTTGGTGGCTGAGAACAATGGTGACTTTTGATTTCTTGTCATCTGAGGGCCTGGAGTTCCAGCAGAGCTCCCGGCACTTGGGCAGCTGCATTCTGGGTGGGGGGCGGGGGCATCAGGCTGCGCTGGGCCACCTCACAGTGTCTGGAGCCTCACTTCTCCATGGGGCTCCCCCTGCCTGGCCGGTCCCCCTCTGGGCTTTCAGAGGCTCCGCCTCTCATCCCTGGTGAGTAGCTGGGACTTCCTCAGCACCAGGCACAGGAGGCCAGGAGGGCAGAGGCCGAGACTGCCAGGTCTCCCAAGGCTCAGGGTTGGAACTGAACGGCAGTGCTTTGCTACCTGGATTGGTCAAATCACGACAAACTTGGGATGCTGAGGCAGGAGGATGGAAAGTTCAAGGTCAGCCTGGGAAACCTAGAGAGACTGTATCTCAAAATAAAAAATAATCCCGGAGACTAGGGAGGCTGAGGCAGGAGCATTCCAACTTCAAGATCAACCTCAGCCCTTAGGGAGGCCCTAAGGACTCAGACCTTGTCTCAAAATAAGACATATAAAAGGGCTGGAGATGTTGCTCGGTGATCCTGGGTTCAATCCCCGGTACCAAAAATAATAAAATAAAATAAAAAGGGCCGGGGTGTAGCTCAGTGGTAGAGTGCTTGCCTAACTTGTGCCAGACCCTGGGTTCAGCCTCCAGAAAAAGAAAAAGAAAGAAAAAAAGAAAAGCAAAACAGATCCCACGGTCTACTAATACATTTCTTCCTTTCTGCCATGGATGGGACCTAGATGATTCCTGGGCCCGTCCTTAAAATAGCTTTATTCTTCATGGTACAAATGAGCACCGTATACCTGCGTGTTCGCTGAGCATCTGTAGAAGACAGACGTCCATAAGTCACTGCCTCTGGGAGGCCAGGAAGCAAGGCTGAGAGAAAGCTTTGTTTTTTATTTATAGGTTTCACATTTTGTAACGTGTCATCTTATGACTTGGTCATAAACGCCTGCATTATAAAGTGACCCCACCAAGGTCACTCAACACAGAGACGCAAAAGAGATAGGACCAGGCCGATTGTCCCTGGGGCAAAGCCATGCAGAGCCCTGTCAACTACTAAGTGACCTCAGCGGGGTCACCCAGCTCCCCTCTCAGCTTCTTTGTTGGGAAAATGGAGACATCATATTCTCTGTCCTCCGGCTCAGGCTCAGCGGACTCCCCTCGGGAAGCTGTCAGCTCACAGGAAGCCCCTGGGCACTATGGCCAGATTGCCGAGGGACGGTGGCAGGTGGCTGGCTCTCTGTCCTGAGCCAGGACACCAGGGTGAGACTGGGCTCTGAGCGGCTCACCCCACCGAGGGGTGAGGGCAGGGGCGTCTGTCCCAGATCCGACAGCTCCCTGGCTGCAGGCTGCTGGGGGTGGGGTGCTCATTCCTCAGCTCCTTAGGCCACTGTTGTCACCAAGGCCCTGCAGGCAGGCGAGGGAGCCCGTCAGGCAAAGAAGTGCCAGCGCCAGTGATTGGAATCAGGTCAGTATGACCCGAAGCAAGAGGGGCAAGGGGACCTGGCAGCCACCTCCTGTGCCCTGTGGGCCCTGCCAGCTGCCTGGGCGGCTCTGACTCCTGCTTTGCTCACCCAAGTCTGGGACAAATGCTGTGGCCTGAGGCCCAGGGTGACTCCCTGCAGAGCGGTGGAGTGGGAAAGGGAAGGGTCTGAAGGGAAAGCCAGGAGCAAGAGGGGGTAAGCGGGACCAGGCAGAGACACACAGGAGAGTTTATCTGTCAGAGCTGACAAATCAAGGCCACCTCTCGCTAGGACACAGCTGCCAATCCGAGCAAGGGAGATGTCCTCTGGCCTGGTGGAACGGGCAGGCAGGTGGGAGAGACTGGAGGTGAGATGGGATTTTTGGCAGATTTCACAGGAGGCAGAGAGGGTAGAGTTCTGGGACTTTCATGGGGAGGCCCAGAGGTTAGAGCCAGGAGGGTGGTTATGGGGGTTGGTATGAGGGAGTGGGGAGCCTCAGAAAGGCCCTCGGCGGAAAGCAAAACTCTTTCCTTAAAATGGTGCTGTCACTTAAGATGGCCATCAGATGCTAAGCAAGGACCTCATATTCCCCCTTTTTGATCTTATTGGGTCCCCTAGGGAAGAGGGGTGTCGGTCAATCTTCTATATCTGCTTCCTGCTGGGAAGGGGTGGCATTTGGATCCCTCATTAGGGGCGTGGGGCATCCTTGGAGCCATGATGGAGGGGGAGGGGGAATGCTGTCTCCGGTGCCCCTATTTTTGGTGAAGGGTTGGTGTTCCTGGAACACAAGCTGGTTTACAGATTGATGAGAGATTTTTTTGGATCTGGTCTTGAACCAACCTAATGACGCAGGGGGCAAGCATTAACAGAGGGCTGTGAGGGGAGGGGTCAGGAGAGGAAGCGCCACAGGAGAAGGGGGTTCCTGAGGGCCGTCCTTCAGCAGAGGAGAGCTGTTGTTTCCACTCAAGGTTGTTGGAGCTGTTCTATCTTGTCCTTTACTGTACCAGATTATTGACATAAAAATAGCATTCCTCCTGTAGGTACAGACAAGTCCGCCTTCTTTGGCCATAAAAAGATCAAGGCCCCTTTGATTCTGCAGAACCACAGCAGCTGAAGGATCAAGCTGGGACTGTAGGGTTGGTGTGGTTTGAGCAAGTTGCTGTGAGTCTCCTAGAGGTTGGAATAGTAACTCCCAGTGATGTCCCCCTGGGAGGTGAGTGCAGAATGAGGGAGGAGGACAAAAAAGAAGAAGGGAAGGGTGGTACTCGTGGTTCCGCAGAGTCCTCGTGGTCCTTGGAGACGGAAGGAAGACTGGGTGTTCCAGCCTTGGCTTGAGAGGGCCTGTGGGTGTCACTGTGTAAAAGGACGGAGAAAACCATTTTAAATGGGAGTTATAAACCCCATATGGGGTGCCCTCAAGGCAGGCCATGGAGGGAGTGGTAAGAATGGCCCAGGGAGGGTCCGGTCCATTTTGCAGAGAGTTGAGAGGAGGAAGGGAGCCTTTGAGGTTGCCAGGAGACAGAGTGGGAGGGG